CTTAACACCCAACCTCTATAATCCTGCTTGGCTAAACAGAGGCGAGGTAAAGTCAATATCTGCCGGCTAAACCTTCCAAGTTCCTGCTCAGAGGATACTAACGACGACAGAGGCACTCGCTATACGGCTAAATAAGCCGAGTTTGCACAGGCTCTAAGCCTCCCGTGGCCGAAGACCATGTCATCATCTGTTCACACACGTATTAATACATCTCTTGTGAGAACCTCGAATCTGTCATGTAGTCCGGCGTAATCTGCCTGTATCTGCTGATCTGCAACCCCAAACAGAGAAAAAATGCTCCCAGGAAGGTCCAAGAGTCTTATACAATCACCACATGAAGATGAGGAATTTGGCAAGCTCATATTCCTATCTGTAATGCTTATTGCTCGTTTATTATTATTTAGTTACTGACACAGTCATAGGATATAGCAATATTAGTTGATTATGGAGCAGATTGCTCTACTATTAAACAGGAGACGTCCAAAAAACTCAAGATAGAGTTATATACTGCAAAATGTAAGCCTAATAACGGTTAATGGTACCATGCGACATGAAGGCATGTTAGAACCCGAGCTATTACGTGAGCTAATAACGTGTCGTTAACCAATAAGAGCATGCAGTTTGGTGGATAGAGTTGAAAGGGCGGAAACCAAGGAAAGCCCTAATGTGTCCCAGGCCTCAAACATTTAGTTAATCGGAATAGCACCCTCCCTCATCTACCGGACGTGAACACTCGTCCGGGTGTCTTACAAATCAGCCCAGATGAAGTTTAGGACGCGCATAAGCTCATTTTTCCATCTGTTATTCCTGTTGCAATAATAATATGGTGCATGTCAGTTATTGATACAATTATAGGAATATATGACTAAAATATACTATCCACTGGTCTAAGTAAGTATGATTAAAAGAATTATCTCACTTAGCAGTGGTATATTACCTCTAGCAGCAATATCGTAGCTCAAATTTCGTAAAATGGGACACAGCTTTTGGTGGATAGAGGTGAGAGGGTGGATGGGAAAGCCCTGGTATGCTCCGAGCCTCCAACATATTTTTATTCGGAACAGTATAAAACTGGATTCACACTCCCTGCTGGAATTTAGGGGATATTAGTAGACGTTCTATAAAGTCCAAGCTACATCTAGATACTGAAGTAGGCCTATAGATAGATTACAGACGGCAATTTCCGCGACATGAAGGCATGGTAGGACTTGTTCTTTTATTGAATATCGCTTTATTTAACCCATAATCTGATCAATTTACTTCATACAGATTGCAATGCTATCGAATTTCGACGTCCAGACGAACTAATGAAACTCCTGCCAAGTATTATTCCGAAATAATAATGACGTGGCGTGCAAAACTGTTAAAAGGGATAATATTGGATAAACAAGCAAAACCGTAATAATTGTCGTCAAGTCCAGTTGCGTCGGTGTAAAACTGTATATGCGCGCGGGTTTAGCCAAGCCTGTCCAATCCTCAGCCAACCAGGAAATGGTGTAGCTGCTGGCATCAGAGCTCGCGAGGAATCGATTAGCTTCGGGCGTACGCGCGTCGAC